CATTAACAGGAATGTATGTTAATTATAAAATTCCAATTCTTTTTTTGTTTGTTTATTTTAATAGTTCAACCTTATAGTATCTAAATATTTGCACTATGGTACGGTTATGAAAATTGTATTCATTGTGTTGACCAGCTATCTTACACGTCTTGGTTCATTAACATTATATATCACCCTGTTCACACGCACACTATCGGTTTGCGTTCACACAAATTCCAGATTAAATGGCAATAAATCCGGAGTCAAAACACATGAGGTAGGTAGTTTGACATCCGAATTCAACCATTAGATTAAAATATGTGATGACGCAAATGCGTATTCTTATCCAGAGTATCAGTGCGTATGATTTCTATTAACTATTTCTTGCGCAAAGATACCATGTGCATGCATAAATACTAATTTCGCTCGCGAATGTGAATTTTCGCTTTTCTTATCTAAATGCAGGACACGGCAGTAAGAGCTTGACATGTGACTTTCAAGCACGGTCATCATTACTTACGGTATTCTGACCTCTAGCTGTTTCTCTTTTCTGTTCTTTTTTGAGTCACTGTCCTATTATAAACTTTGACATTTTCGAAATGCGAAGGATTTTCTACCCCAGAAATAGATTACTTTAGATGTATTCGTTTCAAAATTTTGGGTTCTGAATTCCTTTCAACTTCGTACTTTATTTGGCCTTATTAACGTTTTTTATTCGAGCGTTACTGATATTTCTTTGTAGACTTAACTCGCGTCTGGCGTACAAAATTTTAATCCTGGTATCTTTTTATATAAATTGGTTCTCTTGAGAGTATGTTCAGGTATAGTTGATTCATAAAGCTTCTGAAAATAAGATATTCTTCAAAACCAAGTTTTCCTGTAGAATATTTGGATTGATTTAAGTAAAATCAGGAAATCTTTAATATTTGAGATGTTTTATGAGACCAAAATAAGTCTCTGTATATGGGTCATTTTCAAAAAACGTCGAATTTTGAAATTGAAAAAATTATTAAAAGTTACTTATTCAAACAACCCTCTTCATTAGCAATTCAAAACAAACAGTACTTATAGAACACCATATTTAAAGATGCAATCTTAATAATGTCATACAAGAATATCTTGAAACATTTTATGATAGGTGGTACACTATTTTGCCTCTCCTGTTACCATGTTCAAAAGAAATTTCGGGTTATTAAGAAAAGGTTTAGATAAAATTTTAAGCTTGTTTTTCGTAGCCAATTAGATGGTTTTCAAGAGTTTTAACTTCTATATATATTCATTCTGTGAAATAATAGAGTATTTGCCAATTTTCCAGGTTGTACTGAAAAATGCCTCTAAAAATTGGTTTTCAAAGGTTATAAAATTTACCACCAGTAATGCAAGTCTTGGATAGCAATTCACATTGTTCAGCATTTTTGCTCTCTTTAAAAAAAACCTACATCAAGTAAATCCCTCACATGTTAGTTTACTTTTGTCTTTATTTCATTGGTAACAGGAACGTACGTTAATGATATATCACTATATAAAGTTCTATCCTGTTACCTTTTTGTCTATCCTATTACCAATATCAGTATTGCACCTGCAAATGCTAAATTGGGAAGATTAAGACGTTATAACCTTAAGATGAGTTTAAACAACGAAATATTTCATTATGTTTGCAACTATATGTTATGATAAACTTTTAAAAGACGTTTCTGTCTATAATTGTCTATCCTGTTACTGTAACCATAGCAACCATAGTAACAGGATAGACATAACAGGATAGACAAATTTCTTCATTTTTGAATGCTGTTGTGAAATAACTACTCCATTTGGTGAAGTGATAATGTTGTTCTGTAGTGATTTTGGTTTCCAACACGTTATTGAACTTTTTACAAGTAAATTTTTGGTGTAATTAATCAAAATGTTGGTAACAGCATAGACACGAAAAAAGGTACCCTCTATTTTTTTTCACTAAATGTCTTGAAATTTCTTGTTTCTTCACTGTGGTTCAAGAAACGTGCTGTGTTAAATGTTAAGGTTACTTTGCACTTTTGAAATCAACACTGACCAATTCAATATTCATAGGGAGGACAATTTAACGGCTGATTTAAGTAGCGGTAACAGGATGGACATGAACTTCATGTACGCTGATTGAACTTAGTTCGTAGATAAAATGTTACATATAATATTAAAGAAGCTACGATTTTTCGTTAGAGTTATTATTAATGTTCTTAAAAAGTCCTTTTTGCAGACATCACGGCGATTAGAAAATTGGAAAAAAATCATTTGAGATGTGTTACTCTGACACTGTACGCACACAATTTATCCAAATATCGGACTTAAATACATTTTAATCTTATCAAAACAGATGTAAATCGTGTTTATTATTAATGTTCGGAATCATAAATCCTACAAGCTTTCATTTAAACAATTCCAACTGAAATTTCAATTAGAAATAAATATTTTAGCATGGGTGTACTGAAAATTCGACATTTTTTGAAAATGACCCATATAAAGAGGACCCAATGAAGCTGGTGTGTTACTCTCAAGAAAAATATACGAAACCTTCTTATAAGTTGCATGCCACAGGGTTTCACTTCAATTGGAAATTGGATTTTAAATTTATCTATACACATCTACCATGAGTACAGACAGCTTAAATAATGAGTTAAGAATAATTGAAGGCATCCAGGAAACAAAATATGAAGATATGATAGATAAAATAAATGCATCCATGCAGATTATAAAGCAAACTGAGTGCTTAGATTTATATTGCGATTGGTTTGTGCAATTTGCATTAGACATCCGGTGTGCAGAAACTGGGATTTGCAATAGGATTATGAAAAAATGATGTACAATCCCAAGTAATAATTAAAATAGTCAAGCCTTAAAATGTATATTCAAATAGTAGCTGTATATATACACTTTTCTATTCACAACTATCCAACATTGCTTTCAACTGACTTGTGCAAGAATCTACAGACAATTACACAATTTTAATAAAGGTGTTTTAACATCATCATTATCTTATTCTATTCACAGTCAATTATTTCAATTCAAAAACAAACAAAAATTCAGCAACAATTTTTTGGTGACCAGTCAACGGTCTCGGGTTCACGTATTGCTTTTCTTTTTTTAAAGAAAGCAACTTGTTTTTCGAAACAAAAATTGATATTTTTTTTTGACTAATTAAAACATAACTAAATATGCATTTGCTATTCAGTTATGCAAACTTATGGTCCTACATTCTACTTATATTTTGACATTGCAAAATTTAAAAAAGCAAACAATCTATACATCTTCTCCATTTTCTATTTACATCAGGAAACAGGTGAAATGTCTCCTTACTCCCATCCCCACCATGAAAAACAAACCAATGTCCATCGAAATTTTCAAGATGATAAACGCTTTTAAAATAGTATTTATTTAAATACAAGTTATATTCGAAAATAAACAAACACACAAGTTAAAAGATCAATTTTCATTACAAATATAGTAATAATCACATACACATTAAAAACAAAACAAAACAAAACAAACAAAAAAACAAGAAAAAACTGAGGATCGAAACTGTAATCTTCCAATCTTTGCTCTCATTGTTCTGTTTATTCTTAATCTATCCAAAGTATTATGTGTCCATTGCCGTAATAAACGTACAGCTACCAAACCGTATTTGTTGCACTCTATTTTTTGCATACGTATCTTCATGTTTGCAGTATATAATAGCATATAGATAAATGGAAATTAACATTTTACTATTCAGGCTTTCCTTATTTCCACTAAATAAATGTAAAAATATAAATATCAAAACTGAAAATAAATAAAATGATAACAACTATATAAACGGTACCAATTTTACCGCACAAGATTATTTACTGAAAATTAATGCTCGAGGCCTAAATATTTGAACATACAAAACCTTTTACAAACGTTAAAGTGATAATAAAACATAGAAGATACATAAGGACAAGAAATCAGAGCTATGCATGATGGAGATACAGTACCATGATCTGCTACTAGTATTTCTAATAGAACACGAATTAAGTGCAAATGCATGTACTTGTTATCAGTGCCAATTTGAATTCGAATAATCAGACCTTTTCACCTTATACCCACAAAACATGCATGCAATGAATACATTGGTTCTTCTTACCTTTTAGAGGTCACGCCAGTGACAGGGAATTGATAAGAGAGCCGACCGAAAATACATAACAGAGCCATATGTATTCAGTTTACATACAAGTAAAAAACACAAATTTCATAATTGGCTGCAGGCATTAAAATAGGAGTAGCTTCACTTTCTCTGTATTTTGATCAATTATTTTAAGAAAATCACAGCAAAATGTTTTCTTTGTTGATTGTATAGAAGAAAAGCCAATCCTTAAATCCTGCTTTTGTGATAAGTAAGTACTTTTCTATCAAAATTAAACTTGTGGTTTAATGGACATGCATTTAAAAACAAATTAAATCGCCTTTTCATTTCTGTGTTGTTGATTTACATTGCTTTGACTATTTCTGTAAAATGTTGTTCACAAGAAGTGTGTTGAGTTAATGCGATATTACTTAATAACATAAGCAACACGACGGGTGCCACATGTGGAGCAGGATCTGCTTACCCTTCCGGAGCACCTGAGATCACCCCCGGTTTTTGGTGGGGTTCGTGTTGCTTAGTCTTTAGTTTTCTATGTTGTGGCATCTGTACTATTATTTGTCTATTTGTCTTTTTATTTTTGGCTATGGCGTTGTCAGTTTGTTTTCGATCTATGAGTTTGACTGTCTCTCTGGTATCTTTCGTCCCTCTCTTACTTAAAATGGGGAATATCTTTATTTATTTGTTTTATCGTCTAAAGGTTTCTATCCTTTCATTCAGATATAGTCCCCAATCGGTAAAATCTGTACAAACGAATGATCACCACGAAAAATACCCTTTCGAAGAATTCATATTTTATTTTTCATGAGCGGAATGAAAAAAAAAATATTTGCAAAATGCTTTTATATTCTTTTCATAGAAAAATTAAAGAGGTATTATGCATTTTCAGATGATGTATCCCGCTCACATACTGGCACTTTGTATTGTAATTGTTAATGTATGCTGTTATGAAAAACATCAGAAACTAATACCTAACGGAAATAATGTACCAAATCCATGTTCAAAAAACCAGAAGAGTATTTGGAGAGCAGTAGGACATTTTAATCCCGACCATGGAGGTGTAGATATAAATTCCTTTGGAAAGGTACTTTTTCGTCTACAGAAAATTATTTAATTCTCTTTATATACAAAATTTTCTCTAATCAACATTTTAGAATAGACAATACTGCGCAGATAAGGAAAAAAATATCAAAGTCTAAAGATTTGCGCAAGTCTTTAGACTTTTATATATATAAATATATATAATTCGTCTAAATAACAACCCAACAATGTTAGATCTGTAAATTTGCGGAGGCAAATTTTTGTTCTTCCCTGGCCGGGATTCGAACTCATGCATGAGCAAATTTACAGATCAAAAATTGTTGGGCTGTTATTTAGACGAATTATGTATACAGAATGTGTTTACAGCCTTGTATCACCATCACTGGTGATCCAATGGATAAAATCTGTCGTAGAGTTGTCACTGGTTCAGACGTACTTTGAATATATATATATATACTATTCCATCTTCATGCCTTATATATCATGTACTGGATTACGAAGCTAGATTAAAACTGACGAGGAAAGGTAACACCAGACCACCGAAAGCTTTATTTTTGTGAAGCCTAGGTGGTCGGGTGGTCTAGCGCGTCGGATACAGTGCAGGCGAGTTGGTGTCACGATATCTCAATAGCATGCGTTCGAATCCCGGCGAGGGAAGAACTAAAATTTGCGAAAGCAAATTTACAGATCTAACATTGTTGGGCTGATGTTTAGACGAGTTGTATATACAGAATGTACACAGTCATGTATCACCATCATTGCTGGTGATCCGATGGATAAATCTGTTGTAGAGTTGTCACTGGTTCAGACGTACTTATAAATATAATTATTTCTGTGACTGTATCTTGCATTAATGTGTAGGATCCTTTACAATAGATATTTCAGCTGATCTGTAACTATTCCATCTTCATGCCTTATATATCATGTACTGTATTACGACGCTAGATTAAAACTGACGAGGAAAGGTAACACCAGGCCACCGAAAGCTTTGTTTTTGTGAAGCCTAGGTGGTCGGGTGGTCTAGCGTGTCGGATACAGTGCAGGCGAATTGGTGTCACGATATCTCAGTAGCATGAGTTCGAATTCTGGCGAGGGAAGAACTAAAATTTGCGAAAGCAAATTTACAGATCTAACATTGTTGGGCTGATGTTTAGACGAGTTGTATATACAGAATGTACACAGCCATGTATTACCATCTCTGCTGGTGATCCGATGGATAAATCTGTTGTAGAGTTGTCACTGGTTCAGACGTACTTATAAATATAATTATTTCTGTGACTGTATCTTGCATTAATTTGTACGATCCTTTACAATAGATATTTCAGCTGATCTGTAACTTTTCCATCTTTATGCCTTATATATCATGTACTGTATTACGACGCTAGATTAAAACTGACGAGGAAAGGTAACACCAGGCCACCGAAACTTTATTTTTGTGAAGCCTAGGTGGTCGGGTGGTCTAGCGCGTTGGATACAGTGCAGGCGAATTGGTGTCACGATATCTCAGTAGCATGAGTTCGAATCCCGGCGAGGGAAGAACTAAAATTTGCGAAAGCAAATTTACAGATCTAACATTGTTGGGATGATGTTTAGACGAGTTGTATATACAGAATGTACACAGCCATGTATCACCATCATTACTGGTGATCCGATGGATAAATCTGTTGTAGAGTTGTCACTGGTTCAGAAGTACTTATAGATATAATTATTTCTGTGACTGTATCTTGCATTAATGTGTAGGATCCTTTACAATAGATATTTCAGCTGATCTGTAACTATTCCATCTTCATGCCTTATATATCATGTACTGTATTACGACGCTAGATTAAAACTGACGTGGAAAGGTAACACCAGACCATCGAAAGCTTTATTTTTGTGAAGCCTAGGTGGTCGGGTGGTCTAGCGTGTCGGATACAGTGCAGGCGAATTAGTGTCACGATATCTCAGTAGCATGAGTTCGAATCCTGGCGAGGGAAGAACTAAAATTTGCGAAATCAAATTTACAGATCTAACATTGTTGGGCTGATGTTTAGACGAGTTGTATATACAGAATGTACACAGCCATGTATCACCATCACTGCTGGTGATCCGATGGATAAATCTGTTGTAGAGTTGTCACTGGTTCAGACGTAGTCTACTTATAAATATAATTATTTCTGTGACTGCATCTTGCATTAATTTGTAGGATCCTTTACAATAGATATTTCTTTTTCATATTTTTGCCTTATATATCATGTACTGTATTACGACGCTAGATTAAAACTGACGAGGAAAGGTAACACCAGGCCACCGAAAGCTTTATTTTTGTGAAACCTAGGTGGTCGGGTGGTCTAGCTCGTCGGATACAGTGCAGGCGAATTGGTGTCACGATATCTCAGTAGCATGAGTTTGAATCCCGGCGAGGGAAGAACTAAAATTTGCGAAAGCAAATTTACAGATCTAACATTGTTGGACTGATGTTTAGACGAGTTGTATATATATATATACTCAAGCAGGCTCTTCGTCTGTGGGCTCTTGCAAGGGATGTCTTAGTTGCAAACAAATACTGGTTACCCAGACTTTTAACAGTCACTCCACTGGTACAGAATACACCACATTTTGCAATGTTAATTGCAAGACTACACATGTTGTGTATCTCCTACAGTGTAAATGTGGTAAACAGTATGTTGGCGAGTCAGAACAGCCGTTTCACAAGCGAATGAACGGTCATCGTAGCGACTACCAATGCAAGCCAGACCTCCCTCTCAGTCGACATTTGAGATCCCCTGGCCACACTAAGGCAGATCTCAATCGACTGACCATTACAATCATTGACCACAACTCTGCTTGGTCTAGGGAGGATAGACTCACTCGGGAAAGATTTTGGATCAGAAAATTAACAACTTTGGCACCAAATGGGATAAATGAAAAAATGTAGTTTGACTCCATGCAGTGCTTCACATTTGGGTTATATTACTTATTATTACAGTCTCTGTTTCTATTTCTTTACCTTACTCATCTCTAAAATAAATCTGTTGAATATACCAATTTAAATTGCTTAATATGTTGAGGGATGTAAAAGTACCAAGCCACGTTCAACTAGTTAACCTTAGTCAAAATTTATTATTATATTTTAACGGCCGTCTGTTTGCGATGTTTAAATACGCAGACTCTGTTGTAACTACTCTACCGTTGTCAAATTTGAAATATCTACAAATTTAGATTGTTCAGTGCTGTTTATTTGGAATTCTTATTGACGCAATCGTTCTTGTAACATCATAACTGTCGTCACCGTTAAAGCTTTAGAATTGTGCTAGTTCATATCGCACATTATTATTTTTATTTAAAGCATATATTTGAACTCTCTGTTGTAATTAGTCATATAACCTATGTCGTGTTTAACACATATTTAGAATTGTGCAAGCGTCTTACCTGATGTTCGGTTTGACTTTTTTATTGTATAAATTTCAAGATTGTTATAGTTTAATCTAAGTAGACTGATATATGATTCATTCAACATCACAATCATATTTACTGATGAAGGATATCTGTTATCCGAAATATTTATAAATAATTACATTTATAGTTCCTTTTTTTTTGTTATTGGTGTTGTTGTGTACACTTTTTAGGCGTTTATATATATATATATATATATATATATATATATAAGTGCCTATAAATAGCAGCACATGACATACAAATCTATGGAAGTGTGGATTAATCAGTACAGAGATTGCACGCTTGATAAAGCTAGTTAGTCTAGCGAAATATTGCGTTTATTTTCATCATTTTGTAAATATTTTAAAACATTTTTATATTTACATACTAAATAGTGTGTTAAAATTACATTGTTAGGCAATCTATATATATATATATATAAGTCTAATTGAAAACAACGTTCAAACCTATGATTGCGTTGGATAAAAACAGCAATTTTTATACGTGTGCATGTAAATCAAATTTTTTGGTAGAGGGGTCTTAATACAGCACAAACAACAATTTCCAAAAGACAAAAAAAAGTGAAAAAGTCTATTTTAACAAAACGCATTTGACTAACAGGTCGAACAACTGATGTTCTTAAACCCTGCTGACTGCCATTGGCGATTGCCAAATAAATTGATCACCAGATCTAACAAAATGGATCTTAATATTAATTTAATACCAAACAGAAAACAATAAACTTGTGGAAAAGATGGTATACCACAAACATGAGGTGCAAAAATTTGTACACCATATCCGGATTTCGACAATTAATGTCTCTTCAGTGATGTTAGGGATCGAAACGGTATTTGGAAGGCCATATAATTTACTTCAATTTAGGAAAGACTCTTGAATTTCAAATATATATATATACGTCTGAACAAGTGACAACTCTACAACAGATTTATCCATCGGATCACCAGCAGTGATGGTGATACATGGCTGTGTACATTCTGTATATACAACTCGTCTATACATCAGCCCAACAATGTTAGATCTGTAAATTTGCTTTCGCAAATTTTTTGTTCTCCCCTCGCCGGGATTCGAACTCATGCTACTGAGATATCGTGACACCAAATCGCCTGCACTGTATCCAACGCGCTAGACCACTCGACCACCTAAGCCTAAGTATATAATGTGTTACTTTCATTTACAATTTAATGGAATGTAACTAGCTAAGCTTAAGCCAGTTTAAGAATGTTTTTTTTTGTTCTGGAGAATGGTGTATATATGTTGTGTATAAATTGTAATGTTATACAAATTATAATTTGTACAGTATTTTTGTATAAGTTATCAGTATTTAGTTAATCTCTTTACATAATTAGATAAAATAAGCACAGTGTCTTTGGTTAAGCTTATCACTGTTTTATTTCCACAACTACATGCTACAGTCTTGCACATAGTACTGACACAAAGTTCATATAAAAACACTAAAATATATTTTGTGGACATAGCATTTGGTATTAGTAAAAAAATAAAAATATAATCTTAACCAATCAGGTGTCCTTATTTGTAGTTTGATGACATAGAGGACAGAGCTTAATGTTAGGTTGAAATTTATAAATTTGTGAGTAAAACACCGAACTGGATAATTATTAAAGATAAACTTGTATCACCTGGTGAAAGAAGGTGTGTGTCATAATACTGATAACTTGTACAAAAACCTGTACAAATTATAATTTGTACGAAATTACAACTTGTACACAGCATATATACTGTATATATTAAATGTCCCTTTTCAGTAGTCTTCAATTTCGGAATGAAGACTAATGCACGTGTTTTTGCAACAATCTTATCATTCCCTATTCTAGTTTAATACTATGTTATTAAATTGATAAATACTTTGAAAAGTTTACTTTTTTATATAGTACAATAACCATGAATTAGATATCTAAAGTTTGAAAAATTCAATATTCGAAGGAGCAAAACAAAAACGAGTTTTCTTGGTCATTTATCAATAATGGCTGATGAAATATGATTTAATGATAGTAATAGTTTTTCTTACTCAGCTATTCATGTTCACATTTGGAAATTTTAATTCTGAATTTCGAACTTCAGATTTTTATTCATGAAAGATTCCATAGAATTGAGCGAGAATTTATTTCAGGATTTTATGCTATATAACAAGACTTGGACTACAGAATTATGCCTTATTGATTCGGATGGTGATGGTAAGATTAATGGAGAAGAGCTAGGAGATCCAAGCTGTGATTGGACCCCAGGAAAAAAACCCAAAGGACCAGCAACAGATCATCCAGGTATTCTTTCTGTTCAATGCTGCTAAAATTTAGCGTTCCTTTCTTTATTCTTTCTGTTCAATGCTGCTAAAATTTAGCGTTCCTTTCTTTATTCTTTCTGTTCAATGCTGCTAAAATTTAGCGTTCTTTTCTTTATTCTTTCTGTTCTAACGTATAGTTATAGTAAACATATTTTAGAAAACTGTTTGCACCATACAAGAAAAATGATGAATTTCTTGATCAATAATATTGTAGGGTTTATACAATAACATAGATGAATACCAATTATCTGACTGAGTCAATTAATTCTGTTTAAAGATACTTTCTCTGTGTCCATTTTCAGTCAAAAATGATGTCTGCATCCGCAACATATCTTCATTACACGTTTAATTTAAATTGTATTTCATAAAAGGGTCCTACATTGTTCAATCTTCTTTTCAATACGCTTTAATTCAAATAACCACTTCAAGCAGTGCCTTAACCGTTTTAAGACCGTCAAACAGACGATAGTTCAGCAATCAAAATTGATAAGAAGCTCATGCATGAACAAAGGAAAACGTCGACAAGAAGATGAGCACAGTTGGTTCCCATGGGAATGCCGATTGTTCTTGAAAATCACGTCTTCCAAGCATAACAAATATATTGCCAATCAATTAATCAAGCATCATGACAAAGTCAGTTTCAGAGTATTGTGTGTATCATAGTGTTTCTTTACAAAGTACAATTATGATTTGTCCATTCCTAATACAAGATATTTGTATCTACGTTGGCCATAATTTTTTATGAATGAAAAGTCAAACCAATTCTTTCAATTTGTCTTGAAGTTTTGATTGCGAAATACTTGTCTTAAGGATAGAAAAGTCTAATTTTTATATCATTACAAGCGGAAAGAAACTTATATTGCATTAAATGGACTTTCATCAATTATAGTCGCTTATATCCACGTCATTTGGACTAGTAGTTAAATGTCTCATTGGCAATCTTACCAAATATCCTTGTTTTTATATTTCAACTTACTAACACAGCAATGGTATAATACTTTTAAGCGCCAAGACTATTTAATGACACGAAAATGAAAATGATACTTTATAAATTGCTTATGCCCAAAGTGCTTTGCTGGATTAACCTTCATCAGAAACGCTCACGCACAAACATTTGAAGGCCAAGGATGTATAATTACTTGAAAATAATAGAATGTAACATCTATACTACTAAAATAATGAGATCCAATTTGTAAGCCGGCATGACGTAAAAACGACGAATCAAAAAATTCAACTTTATATAACTAATATAGGACAATGGTGTTGATTAAAAGTTACACCATTCCAGGCCCTTTTGTTTTCCACATAATGAATATTACCAATAATAATAGTACCTGTTACCTGTTACCTGATCTGTTACGTTCCGCCTCTGCAGGCGCACCACCAAATGGTGTATTTGGGATTTGCTATATACACGGGTCATAATCACACCTGAACTTCGTCATTATACAGGGATTGACACTACTAAATTCAATCATGATTGACAAAACAAAAATATATCTACAAGAAGTTTCCGGTTGTAGTAAGAAAACCAGGACGGATTCAAAAAGAAAGATTTTGAAAGCAGAGAAAATTCTGCACCCTATAATCAGCATGACTTTATCAAATGACAATATGAATACTAAAAATCTAGGCTGAAAATAAGGTGTAGGTACTTTAACTCAGCCACGAACCCGCTATGTCGCGGGTGTGTTCTAGTTATCTAAGAACAAATCGGTATGTTGTGTTTGTGATATAGTAAAATACAGCATCGGGAATGAACCATAAATGACCCAAACAATTTCTGCTTTCATATAAAGAACTTTATAAAACCAAAGAGTGATAATTATAAAGGAATAATCATCGCTTCGAAAGTTTAAAGTGATTTGGTAACCGTTATGAAATATCTAGGTGACAGATAACCTAGGATATGTTTCAATTGTCGTTGATTCAAAACTTGTCCCCCTATCATCGTCTTTGAAATGTTTACGTCGAAATCCGTTATAGATAGGAACTGTATATCACATAGGGAATAACAATGAAATATACGTAAGGCCTACAACAATGAGAAAACCCATACCGTTTATTGAGCTATGAAAGGACCTGATTTGACCAAATGCGAAACACTTCATAATAGAAAATTAACGGTCTGATTTATAACATAACAAAAAACGAAAACAAAATATGGCAGACAGCAACCTATGACATCCACGGGATTTCAAGTTCCCGTTTTAAGAAAGACACATACAGAATGTGGCGGAATATAACATGTTTGTGAGCGCTTATAATTAACCCTCTTCCTAATCTTGGACAGTGGTGTAACAAAACAACATAACATGAACAAAATTAGTTGAAAAGGGTTTGATTGATTCATCAGATTGTAATAAGCACAATAACAAATATTAGTAAAACCACAATGAAAAATACTAGTAACACAAATACCATAGACATAAAGTACCTATCTAAGAGTACTCGCAGTTAATTATAGCTAGTTAAAATCCCCATGTTAACTGATAAATTACAATTTTCTCTCACACTTAAATTCATTTATACGAAGTTTGGAAAGGATTTCTATCCTGTTTTCTCCGAACTCCCTCGACACGTTGGCCAAGAAATTGTCGAAAGACCAATTAACGACGGCGAAGAGGTGCGGTGATATTTGTGACTCGCTGTAACATATAGGTATAGAGTAAAACCTAACGATGACTTAGAGGTTAAGAGGTTGACTGACAATTAACTATAATCCAAACATAAGTTTTACCACAGTTTAATGGATAGGTCACGCTGAAAAGATGTTCGACCTTTTCGGCCTTGAGACGACTCGTTCATTTTCCTATCACAACTGTACTGGTAACCAACGTGCGTCTACTGACGGGCATATTTAGAACCTTAGTGATGCCTAAATGGAAAACTACAACCTTGAGACAGCATGGTACGAAACAGCGCCCGGACTGGGATAAAAATTAACCACATGTATTTCTGAACCACGACATGTATTTCATGTCAGAGACGGTGATACCATAATATCACATGGACATTTTAATATTAACAAAATTATAGACTAGGTATCTTATAAACTTGGATGAGAACAACTTTTACGGATGTGTGCTTGTTAATTTGTGTCTTGGATACACGATTTTTTGAATTGAACTAGCTTTCAGTTACTGCTAGTACTCTCAGATCTGTACTTTGTGTCTTTACGGTTTTTGACAGTTGATTTTGTGCTTTGAATCGATCTAATGAGCCAAAACTTTTCAAATGATCACTGTCCCAGGTGACGGGAGGGTTGTGCGCTCGCAAACATGTTTAACTCCGCCACGTACTGTAGGAATGAAGAACCTGTAATTCAGTCGTTGGCGTTTGTTGAATATCATATTTGTTTTCGTTTGTTGTTTTGTACATAAATCATGCCGTTAGTTTTCGTGTTTGAATTGTTTTACATTTTGTCATTTCAGAGCCTTATATAATTTGCTATGCGGTATGGGTTTTGCAAATTGTTGAAGGCCGTTAGGTGAAATATAGTTGCTAACTTAAACGTTATTTGGTGTTTGGTGGAAAGTTGTCTCATTGGCAATGATACCACATATCATCTTATTTTATTTTGTACACGATCAATGCTGCACTAGTGTGACATGCAATCAATATATCCGACTATCCAAGCGATCTTCCATCGTGGATTGCAATGTGGGGGGTAACAAAAAGGCAGTCACTTATTACGTAACGTCGCTACATCGATATGAATTGTATATTCATTATTCATTATCAAAATACCATCTGAATAATCAAGTCTTGCTCGGATCTTTCAGGAATGGTCAAAGAAGACTGAGTTTGCAGGTTGTCGGGCGATGATTCACGCCTACGAAATGAAAATAACACTTTATTTCGTGTGTCCGAAGCGCTTTTCTGGATTTACCTTCATCAGGAACGCTCAAACTAAATCATTTGAAAGACAACGAGGTATAAGACCAAAACACACGAAGAGCTATATGATCAAAGGGTACCTAAAACAAACACAAATTCATCTAAGGTAGATAAATCTATAAGGCCATTGTAATCAACAAAGAAGAGATCACACAAAACAACACATTTGATGAATATAAAACCCGCATCAAATAGCAGTAGGTAAACATGCCGATGAACATCAACTGAAATATTCTGTACACCAACTTGATCTAGAAGAATACAAACGGCACACCATCTCGCATGGCATTCACACATTAGCTCGTGGACAACGAACGTCAAATAGAGCGTGGTATTATTGTATAGTCATAAGGATAAATTGACGCCCGTTTTACATGAGGAAGATAATTGAGAGCGGAATTCGAGTCATTGTTCTCTAACAGATGTTACAATTGGGTTTGAAGTATTTTTGCGTATCAGAAACAACAAACGAGTTTTCAAGTGTTTTAATCCTCAGACTAAAAAGAGATACCTAATTAACAACAAAGCTGCGGTGAAGAGGATGACATATATGAAGAAAATGTTCTCACATCGAATATGTTACAAAATGATAATCTTTATTTACCAAAATCATAACAACTATAGGCATAAAACATATAAACTACACACAGTATACATAGATAGCAGAAGGTAGTGTGAAACATATTACAACATGTTAGATCTTAATTTCTGTGTACGAAATATAAATTTACCCAAATTACATAGTTCTCTAAGATTATTTTAACTCATTAATTGTATATATTTATACATAATATGTTTTCTCCAATAATAAGGTTTAATAAAATAAGATCTAAGACCTTGATAAACGGGACATTTTAAAATGAAATGTATCTCATCCTCAATGTCATTTTTACAACAACTACAGCTCTTGCATGAACTTGTTATTTGATCGCAAAAAAATCAACGTAAAAAGATGTACCTACTATTATCCAGTACCAATGATTGCTATTTGTATTGATATTCTATCCAGGCCTTGGTACAACAACCATGTATTTCTGGAGTATTCGATAGAGAGATAGATCGGGATGTCTACCAGCTTTGTTTAATTGCTATGTATATCAAATAATTGAATAGAGGTTTGCAGTACATTTTAATAAAGATACCCCTATGATTAAGAGCTCGAAAAGGCTGTGAAAGATCAAAAGTGGACAAAAAAGACAATATCTGTATGCGCCTAATAATAATCCCTGAATCATCGAATGTGTTGTCGTTAATCCTGACCATTGGGATGTTTATCGATTTCATTCGATATGTTAACACAAAACATGTCAACAGAGGTGTATTCTGACTTTCACGAAGTTTTACCCCAAACGATATTGCAGAGATTCGAAGACTTGAAATCCAATACAACACAGATAAATTGCAGAATAGAGGAACAATGGTGTATGGACGTTTTGATCATGTTGGAAGAGGGCTAGGAGCTAGAAGAAGTACTATTTTGATGTTGTCAACAGATCTCAGCATACATTATCATCGTATCAACATTGGATTCATAAATGAAGTACACAAGTTTAAGTCTGAATCGTCCATTTTGACCGAAGATGTTTAAAATGATCTTAATATAAAAAAGCATGTCCTGATCCCAAATAAACATGTATTCTTTCTTGGGTGAAATTAAGCGTCATCAACTAAAATGTTGCACCCTCAATTTTTAATGGATATTTTACATTTGAAGTATATTTTAAATTTCAAAACGACCGGCTAAGGACAACAAACAAAGGTTCAAATCGTATTGTCATTTTGTTATTTTGAAATATGCTGTAGACCGAGGTTGCTGCTATGAAGAGTCATAAAATTAAAAGCAGTGTAATCGTGCTTGATTTTCAGATAAATTGGACTGGAGATTTGGACTGAATTTAACTTTCTGGCAGCTATAAACAAATTCTAAAACTAGTATATTTGGCAATGAAATAGCCGAAATTAATTCATTTAAGAGACCTGCAACCTGATTAAATTTTGATCTTTAACTATGTTAGAAATGCTTTTAGCACCGCTACATTCAATTCTAACGGAACAGAGTGAAATATCCGACATTAATCAGATGGAAAGACCTGATGAATTTGAAATAGGGTATATAATCTATAAGTCAGCACTTTTTTTTAAACTTTCATTTCAAAACTTTATTTACTTTTCATAATATATGGTGGTAGACGTTACATTTGCCGACCTTTGTGCAGTTTTAAAATGTTCTTTTTGTTATTTCCTAAAAATTGTTTATGAACTGGCCTTCATGTGTTATTTTGGAATTAATATAAAAAAAGTTTGTTTCACCGTGCTTATTTTAGTGACGACTTTGTTCTTGAATCTTTTTCAACATAACTATGCTTTAAATATTTTCATCTTGAATATCCAACGAACAAAGAATATTCATATGTAAACCCTTACATTTTCCAAGTCAGTATCACCCCCAGTTTTTGGTGGGGTTCGTGTTGCTTAGTCTTTAGTTTTCTATGTTGTGTCATCTGTACTATTATTTGTCTGTTTGTCTTTTTATTTTTGGCCATGGCGTTGTCAGTTTGTTTTCGATCTATGAATTTGACTGTCCCTCTTGTATCTTTCGTCCCTCTTCCAAAAACTAAACAATGGAATTAAATTTTCTTGGGCCTTTGAAGAACAGAAAATGATAAAACATGAAATGTTATGTCTTTAAAAATACGTAAGCTTATGTTTTGTATTGCGATACTTGAAACGGAGTCAAAAATATCCAGATAAATAAGAAACTACTTTTATAATTTACTTTAAACGTTGAAATGTCTCAACTGAATCGTGTCTCGGTAGAACAACCTTAACTTGATTTTAATAATTGGTTTTAACATACTAAAATTAGATTCATGTCAATGAATAATCAGGGTTGCGCAGTTAGGATCGTTTTATGATCATTTGAACCCATAGAAAAACTCATGCTTATGGGCGTTCTTTTGGATGTGCGGGATGTAGAAATACAAAATGTCTGTCCTTATCCAATCCAATGCTCCACGCAGCTTAAATTTTGAACTCTGCATCCCACTTTGCAGAAACTACCTATTGGATTTATTGTTAATTCCGTCTAGTCCGGATTATACACGAAATATTTGCCATTGGACGTAAAACAAATAATAAACCAATCAATTAATCAATCATGAAAATCGTGTCTACTTTCCAATTCTGAGTACGACTGTTTGAATACTATTAGCTACATGGTGTGCTAGTGACCTAATACGATATATATGGGGTCAGTAAATTCCATATGGGGTGAGAGCGAAGTCCGAATCCCAATATGGAATTTACTGACCCCATATATATCGTATTAGGTCACTAGCACACCATGTAACGAATTTATCTTACCGACTATCTTCACATGTGGTATGTAGACTAGCGGCCTACCAAAGTGATTAAGTCTTCAATACAGTATTAAGAACCTTCTTCCATTTGTATATACAAAAAACAAATGCCAACAATAACAACTTGTTAGCTTTAAATTTGTTTTATGAATTTATTTCAATCGTTCATCATCAATTTCTTCGTCTGTTGAAACCTTTCAGATTTCCGTTTTGTTTTAAAAGAGAAGTAACTCCTTACTAACCCTATATGGTAACTAACCCCATATGGTAACTAACCCCATATTTTTAGGACACCCTATATCAAATATATGTAGTCACCACGTGGAGTCTTTTAAGCAATCATATCCCCAGAAATCTATAGGAGGTAAGATAAGAACACATATTACTTGTATATCGTGTGATTATGATAATATTCAATTACAAAAACAAGGAAGGAATCTCATATCACAAACATTAAACAATAACATATAGAAAGAAAACAATTTGGTCGTGTCACTTTATACTAATTTAATCTTGATACCAATGTACAGCACTATAGCCGACATTCAATCAAATTTGAAGTTTATTTTCAGTAACATAATCTTAACATTTAAGTTTTAGTTATTATTTAGCTACAATAAGTATGTCGTTTACACCACTCTAGTATTAAAGGGGCACTAGCTACGAATTATATAAAAAATCTAAAATAGGAGTTTTTTTGTTCAATCATCAATGAAAGTGAAATAGTGAAATAATTATTCGCTTTTAGCAGCCAGTATGGTTCAATTTTGTCAAAATAAGCTAAGAAACATTGATGACGAATTATTCACTTGCAAGTGAATAATTCTACCTCATTGAATCCGTATTCATGTGAACTTCAATTTAACCTCTTAGCTAGAGATGGATAACGCATGAATTGTTCGTGTAAAGTTATTTAAAGGAAAAGAATGTCAACATTGAAAGTGAAACAAAAGTAAATCATTTGATTGACTGATTCGATCAACAGAAATCATTCTTATACAGGTAAAAACGATGATAAACGTATATTTTTAATCTTTAATACGAAATTAAAAAGACATAGAAAAAGCCCATTGCACGAGTTCGCTTAATCTATTTATATCTATATTTATGTTTACATCGCTTATATGGTCTACGGACGACTTCGGAGGTCAACTCGATAGTTAATAAGATGGCATCTAGACTAAAATACACACGAAATGAAGCTACATATTATCGAGCCCATGCCCTGTAAATTGTTTATTTTTGACTTTTAATAGTTTGGATAAATGTTTAACATTGTTATAAATCAAATATGAGAATTTGAGTCAAATCGGTGAACATGAATTTGACTGCTAGTGCCCCTTTAAGTGATTTGTAGATATATGTCAGTTTATAACATTGTCATTTGTCTTATTATTGTAGGTATTTGTGAACCAGTTGACAGTGACATGTGCAAACGACGTAATCAAGGATTTAAGCAATGTCCGAAGTGAGCACCACCTAATGTTCAGCCTGATTTTCAGCCTTTGTTGCTTGTTAAAGTATTTTATAAACATGAAGCATTTTCTTGCATCTCAACTTTCCTTGCTCTACTCAAATATGTGCTTCGCCGACTATGAATTGGATAACTTGGATCTAGTACTTTCAAAAGGAGATGATGGGTTAGGTTAAGTTTGTCTTGCCAAAAACAACTTTAAAGTTCACTTTTGACGATTATATGAACTACGTTGAATTATTGTGTCATTTTCAATTTTTTATCACCTTACATTGAAACAAAATGTTTCTAAAAAGCCTTAAGTTTACCATTTGTTTTATATAAAAAAGGTTTTTAATACCATGATATCCACGTCTGATGTATAATCTTTATTTGGATTACAGTTTCTGAGGGCTACCTTCTTCTTTGTAACATTTTCAAAACTTATAAATGATGTAGGGTTTGGGGTCGGCGGACTTAGGGTATCATGCGTCAATAAGAAAGCTTTCTCACGATACAAAAAACGAAAATAAGTCGACATTTGATAAAGTAAGACTAATGCCTTACATATTGCAAAATTAAAAGTTCTATAATTTTGAGTTCAGATATATTGATAATGTCCTGTCACTCAATAACCAATATTTCAATGAGTGTTTACATCTCATATATACCAATTAACTTGATATGAAAGATACATCCGAAAGTAGAAGGTCTGCTTCATATCTTGATGTTTTCCTCGATATTAATACTGATAGATCTAGAAAACTAGAATCTATAACAAACGTAATGATTTCAACTTCCAAATTGACCAAAACTTCCCATTTCTCAGCAGTGAAATACACTCTGCTCCATCGTATGGCGTTTTCATATCTCAATTAATACGTTTCGCTCGTGTATGTTAGCTCTATACAGACTTCGTTATCAGGGGTGTGCTCCTAAATAAAAGCAACAGTAGTATACCGCTGTTCAATAGTCATAAATCGATTAAGCGAAAACAAAACCGGATCACAATCCAAAACCGAGGGAAACACATCAAACTATAAAAGGAAAACAACGGAACAACAGAAACACTGAACTGCAACAAAACAAACGCCAACATACATAGAAACGGACTATTTGATAACAACTGCCATATTCCTGACTTGGTATTGGACATTTTAAGAAAAACTGGTGGGTTGAACCTGGTTTTATGGCTAGCCAAACCCCCATATGATACGACAATGTTAAAAATAACAGAAAGAATGCTCCTATAGGTTGCACTTTGTAAATACAGCTGTTTCTCAAACCACGCCGCCTTTGGGGAGATATAAAATATTCATAGATAATTAATTTTGTTTACATACTGGTTCCCAGTTATGATCTCTATGTTTCATCTCATAGAGACATAACTTGGGAATGTTACCAGTAAATATACATATGCATATTGTTTATATTGAAATCTGTGGTAATCCTACAGTTAAGGTAGGGGTAGTTAAGAAATTAAGTGTTAGTTTAAACTCTTAGAAGTTTGGGGCATATAAACGTTGAAAATATGCCGCACAGCCCTATAGTTTGACCTTTGAAAAAAATAGTAGTGCATATGAACATTCCATTCTAGGATATGATTTTTTTCAAAACTTCATAGTAAAAGTGATACAGTTTTAGCCGTAAAAGGAGTTCCTATGGGAAATTGCATTGTCAATATTTACGGAAATGCAACCTTGAGGGTAATTAGGACGAACAACTAAAATCGACACCATCAACAGTTTTAGATTCCAGTTAAGTCGTCTGATCTTTATGTAGTCTTATCGATTGTGTCCTATTCCCGATTGTAACAAATTGACTGAGTGTTGATTCGAATTGCGATTACCCTGTCAACTCACCCGGTCTCGCTCCTTTATGAGTTGATGCAATTTCCTCATTTTTGGTTTTTTTTACTTGGTTTGTCTCTTCGTACTCGATTTGAGAGATTTCAACATCAATAAACTACTGTCGCCATTATAAAGCACTAAATTGTCAGAAAAGTCAGAAAAGTAAATAAGAAGAAATGAATAGCTTTATCAGAAACTATCTAAAAATTCACCAGACTCCCAAAAGATTTCGGTGTAAGATATAGCTAGACAAAAAGTCCTGGTTACTGATTCGAAAAAAAAAAATGTGCACAGTTACTGAAGGCTAGCTCAAAATAGATATACTAATATTGAAAGACTTAGGTATTATGTTATTTTTGTGGGAATATATCTAATGTATATGGATTTGAAGTTTATCCACTTCCATTTGCAATGATTTTTTTTTCAAATAAAGCAGGATCTGTTGAACATTCTAGAGTAATGAGATCTCCCCTTTTTAGTTTAAACAAATTGCATTTGCTAAATCTAAGCAAAATTAGTGAGACACAAGTAAATTATACTTATGAAGCCTTCTCCATAATACAATATGAGAATATATAAAATAATAATATTATGATATACATAAGAAAATGTGGTATGAGTGCCAATGAGACAACTCTCCATCCAAGTCGCAATGTGTAAAAAGTAAACAATTATAGGTCATAGTACGGCTTTCAGCACGGAGTCTTGGCTCACATCGAACAGCAAGATATAAAGGGCCACAAAATGACTTGTGTAAATCAATTCATACAGGAAAACCAACGGTCTAATCTATATAAAAACGAGAAACACTTATGAACCACACCAACAAACGACAACCACTGAACAACAGGCTCCTGACTTAGGACATGAGCATGGTGATTATAAAATTCACCACAAGGACCACACATTTGAAGTATACAAGGCGGCATGAGATGTCAAATAATTTACCATTTCATCATATGGAAAGTTGCACTTTAATCATGATTCTAAATCTTCATATCAATCTTGAACAAAAGTTGACAGGAATAATGTGTAAAAACTCATCAAAGATACCAGGCTTATAATGTTGTACATCTACATAAGACTCATAAGTGAAGCAGATAAGGCTAAGGCAATCTATATCGCGTGGGGGGGGGGGGGGGGTGACACCGTACGTAGTGTTTCGATTGACTGATTGATTGATTGGATGTTGATATTTAACGCCACTTCCAGCACTTTAGGCTTTAAGGGGAGGTCAAATTTTATTGCTGGAAGAAGCCGGACTTCCCGGAGAGCACCATCGACTTAGGCAGGAAAACTTTCAATTTTAGTCAAATAAGATTGGAGTCGATCCCACGTGCCGTGTTTGAACTCACAAACTCAGTGTTGACAAGCTGGTGATAGAATAGACGAACAACATCGACCACTCGGCCACCGAGGTACCATATTAATGTTTCAAAAATCCATATTTTATAAACAGTAAATTTGCAGAAAAAATAACATATCAGTGATATTTCATGTCAACACACAAGTGCTAACAAATGGGCTGTTTAGACCCCCGTGGACGAAACGTCTACAAGGAGTGGCATCAACCCAGTGGTTGTAAAATAATTATAAAAGATACCAGGCTTATCATCTTTTACAAAATTCCCCATTTCGCTTTGAGAGAGCTTTGGAAGTCATTTTTTTATTCTCAGTATTCAATTTTCAAAAGAGAGGGTATGCATATGAGCTATTTTCTGGCCACTGATATTCCAATTCCCAAAATGGAAAAAAATTTCAATCCTCTCAGAAATATGTTGTCCATTGATAATTGAATATAAACTTATCATCTCAGGGACCATTTAGAACAGACATGTAAGTTGTGGTGTCACTAAAACTTCATAGATATATTTAAATTTATATAAATAATATTTTAAATGGTTGATTGATTGATCGCCTGGTGTTTAACGCCACTTTCAGCACTATTACCTATTTCGTGGCGGTCAATTTTTTATTGGTGGAGGAAGCCGGAGTGCTTGTAGAGAACCACCGACCATGACAGGAACACTAACAGTCAAATAAGATTGGAATCAAGTACACCTGCCACGTGCGGGATTCGAACTCACAATATCAGTGTTGACAAGCTAGCGATACAGTAGTTTGACTACTTATACCACTCGGCCACCGAGGCTCCTGACCTTAAATAACCGTAAACACTTGGTTTCTTTTCTTGCAAAATTATATATGAGCCGAAGCAATTCCATATTTTACCCACATTCATATTTTTTATAAGGCATCTTAAAGTTTTTTTAATGCCATTTTAGGCAGTTGATTGCAGTTTTGAATTAAATGCAAGCAGTTTGATCCATACAGCAAATGTGTAAAACACAATTCAAATATATCGATTCTGATATCTTACAAACTAATGACTTGTGAAGATCTGAAGGATGTTATTTGATAAATTTATATTATTTTTTGATTTTCGAATTGAAGGGGCAAAAAATTGGCCTTATCATACCTTCTCCTTTTTTTAAACTGTTACTACGAAGCCACATCAGTTAAAACTTTATAAAATGGCGATGAATTAGACATCTTATTCTGGACATTAAACATAGATACATGGTCACCTATTTTACCCTGTAGTGTCTGTATCTACACTACTAAAATAACGAGGTCCAATTTGTTTGCCGGCATGACGTAAAAACGACGAATCAAAGAATTCAACTTCATATATAACTAATATAGGACAATGGTGTTTATTAAAAATTATACTATTCCAGGCCCTTTTGTTTTCCACATAATTAATATTACCAATAATAAACAAGTTCCGGGTCGAATCCAATACCGGTACCAATAGTGTGTGTCACATGTAGTTTCCGGTTGTAGTTCTTCTTATTCTTCCCTCCACTATTTGGAGTACCACTACTATATTGTAGTGAGAAATCCAGGACGGGTTCAAACAGAAAGATTTTGAATGCAACTAGAGAAAACTGTATACCTTAATATAATCAACATGACTTTATCAAATGACAATATAAATACTAAAAATTCAAGGCTAATAATAAGGCTGGCATGTGAACTTTAATTCAGTCACGGAGTCGCGGGTGTGTTCTAGTTGTATATATATATAAGTGATTTTTATTTTCTGTTTTGCTTTTGCTTTTGTTTTTTTTTATTATTTGTGTTAAAATTTCCATGTTTGATATTTTTTTTACTTAAACCTTTTTATGAACTTAAGTACAATGTCAGTTTTTATCTGTCATCAAGTTATTCGACTAATATTATTAAACCACACAAATGACATATTTGTCATACAAAGTTGCTTCAACACTTGGTGATGCCGTGTACAGCAAGGTAATTTCACTAGGTAATTATAAAATA